AAGATTCTGTGGGGCTGGAGAGTAGGTGGGTGGTTAAGAGCACTGGCTGCTCTTCTAGAGGACCAGGGTTCAATTCCCAGCACCCTCATAGAGACACATGCAAGCAAAACAGCAATTCATATAAAATAAAAATAAATAAATCTTTAAAAAGAAAAGATTTTGGATTTCAAATAACGGCAAGACAAATTGCTAAATTTGTTTAAACGTAAAATTCTGAATCCAAGGTTCCCTTGCAAGCTCAAATACTATTTAGTAGAACACTAAATTTATCTGATTTTTATCCCTTGAGAGTTAATTATAGTAAAATGATTTTTTTAAAAATAAAATGAAATAAAATAAAATAAAATAAAGAGTGGCGTTTTAAATCACACAGTAAAGAAGCAGACAAAAGTTTTACTATCAGCTGGGCATGGTGGCACACACCTTTAATCTCAGCACTCAGGAGGCAGAGGCAGGTGGATCTCTGGGAGTTCAAGGCCAGCCTGGTCCACAAAGCAAGATCTAGGACAGCCAGGGCTGTTACACAGAGAAAGCCTGCCTTTAAAAAAAAAAAAAAAAAAAAAAAAAAAAAAAAAAATTCAAGACTTGAAGTCATTCGGGCAATGGTCACTTCACGTAAGTCGTTAGTCACTCTCCTTTAAACCCCACCGAAATATTACCTTTGCATGAATCTGAATCTTCTCATCAGTAACCCGAACAACTTCAATCAACGGTGGGGCTAAGGACCTCGCCTTAGTCAGTGGGGAGTGCAGGACCTCTTCAAGAAACTCATTAACATTTTCCTCATCAAGAAACAATCTTTCCTACAGTAGAAAGAGAAAAAAATATCCTTAGAGGTCACCGTAAAGGTCTTACATAGTTCAATGTTAAGTTTTTAAAATGTTTATCTCACCAACAGTGAGTGCTATCTTAAAAAGAGGCACTCTAGTGTGGTCCAGAATATAATTAATATAAAAACATCTATTCATGAGGTCCACCTAAAAAGAGAAGGATAAAAGGAAGTCTTGATGCTTTTCTAAGTTTACTAAAGTGTGCTTTCCCTACAGGATGATCTTACTTATGAACAGTATCTCTTTTATTTTTCTCAAATTATATAGTGTCTGCGGTAGCCCAGGCTGTCCTCTGTGTACCTGCAGGTGACCTTGAACTTCTGATCCTCCTGTCTCTACCTCCTAAGTGCTAGGATTATGCACATTATCACCATACCTGGTGCCCTGGTATTTCTTAGGAATATTCACTTCAAGGCTATAAATGCAATCCTAGCTATTATAGTTCCGTCTTCTGATAATTCCTAATGAACCAGCTCAGAAATACACAGAATATGTCTTTTAAATTCTTAACTATGGAAACTGGATGTAGTGGCACAAAACTGTCTTTCCAGCACTTGGGAAGTAGAGGCTGGAAGATCACAAGCTCAGGGTCACCCTCAGCTACACAGGAGTTCAAGGCTACTTTAGGCCACCTCAGACCCCAAGTCTCAGACAAAATACAGAAAAATTTGTTGGCCACTTAGGAGCCAATTACAATATTTTATTTAAAAGAAGTACATTTTTTAATTTGTTGAAGCAATGTCAGGATTTAACGAAGATATTTTAATACTGACTTTAAGAGCAAGGATTATGAAAAACTAAGAAGCCCAGTGCTGGGCTTTACTCCTAGTGATTAGTAGCAGAAGCAAGTGGATCTCTGTGAATTCCAGGACAGCCAAGGCTACAGAGAGAGTAAGAAAGGACAGACACACTTGAAAACATGGGTGCAGGCTTTTCATATTTAAAATTATTTAATTCATAAGATCAGTTTACTGCTACCTCAAATAAGATTATCCTCTTCAGTGCTTATATATAAGTAAATATTGTAATTACAAAGTAAAGATTATTAGGTGGTCCAAAGAGGGGGACAAAATCTGAGATAAGTTTCAAATTCTCTTTGATTATATTACAAACAGTATTTGAATTTGCAAGTGAACCAATGAATTAGAAGAATTTTACAGTTAGAACAATTTGCCTTTCTATTACTTGAAGATCCAGAATCTTACAATCTGTATATTATTATTGAAGCACCCCACTAAAAGCCAGGTGGTGGTGCACGCCTTTAATCCTAGTGCTCTTTAGGCAGAGGCAGGTGTGTTTCTGAGTTTGAGGCCAGTATGATCTACAGAGCGAGTTCCAGGACAACCAGAGCTACACAAAGAAACCCTGTCTCAAAACAAAACAAAAACAAAAACACAAAAGGAAAGAAAATAAGAAAAGCAACTGTAGCTGGGCATGGTGACGCAGGCCTTTATTTTATTTATTTATTCATTCATTCATCCATCCATCCATTTATTGTTTTTTGTTTTTTTCAAGACAGGGTTTCTCTGTGTAGTTTTGGTGCCTGTCCTGGAACTCGATCTGTAGACCAGGCTGGCCTCAAACTCACAGAGATCCACCTGGCTCTGCCTCCCAAGTGCTGGGATTAAAGGCGTGCGACACCACCGCCCGGCGACACAGACCTTTAATCCCAGCATTTTGGAGGCAAAAGCAAGTCGATCTGTGTGTTCAAGGCCAGCCTGGTCTACATAGTTGCAAGACAGCAAGGGCTATGTACTGAGACGCACACTTTATCAAACGGTCCTAAGGACAACTAAAACAAACGGAGAGACATTTTCTGTGTAATTTACAACACCCACCAGAGGGCAACCTCGCTGAAATTAAACAGCTTCATAGGGCCAAATGGGATGTAGGGAAGGAGACTAAGACCTTGGAGTAGGATAGGCGAGTGCTCTACCACTGAGTTTAATCTCCAACCCCAGCATAGGACGTAAATTATTTCCTTCCCGGAAGTATTTTATCATTACCTGCACAGATTCCTAGAATCGGAAGAAAGTGATTTCCCAAGTTAAAATATGACCACTTTAGAGTGCTTTTTTGACATAAATACTTTTGAGAACGGCGAGTTATAACCCTTTTCAGGAAAGACAGAACCCTCAATTTTTTGCATGCAATACAGGAAATCATTAAAATCCAGTCTCTTCAAGTCAGTCGGTGGACCCAAGAAAACGGCTGCATTACGGACAACCCTGAAGACATGAAGCGCATCCTTCGGATAAGTACAAACTTCGCCTTGAGAACGCACTTACCACGCACTTTCACAATATGAACATAGAAAACATTTGGTTAGGTGCCTGTAACAAAACATTTTTAAAGTAAGATGGAGTATTTCAAATAGTGAAAACGGTTACCTCCAAAGACTCACTGTCCAAGCCACAATACCATTCTCGCCAATGTCCGCGGCTCTCTGGAGATTTGGCCAGTACTATCACTGCATTGTTTAAAGAAATGCTAATCTCGGGTTCTTTGGTACTCAACTTATTCTCCGGAGCAAACTGCAACGTGAAGGAGTAAGCTGAGTCTTGTGCGGAGAAGCACAATTTGTAGCGGAGGGGGCTCAGGTCCCCGTGAAGGCTTTGCGGCTGAATCCGAGGCACCTGAACGAGCAAAGTCAAGGAGTCTTGGTCCTGATGACACCGCAAAGGAGGGCACACAGGTTCGATGCTCTCGGTCCCGGGGCCACCCATGGCTGAGCCCGAGGCGTCGTGGCGGGTCCCCTCCTGCTCCTCACACGTCTGGGCACTGAGGTCTCCGCACAGTGCCGGTCTTGCCGCGGGGGACTCGGTGTCGCAGCCCGGGAACGCAGTGCAAGGGAGGCTTCGGTCCCCGGGAGGAGGCTCTTCCCCGAGGCCTAGGGACGCCACCGAGTCCCCACCGAAGTCTCGCTCCGGCTCGGGAACGAGCTCCCCTTCAGCGTCCGCAGCCCCGAAGCCCGGGGCTCCCGCTCCGGTCCGGTCCCCGAGGTCAGCTCGGGTCGCCTCCGCCGTCCCTTCCCGCGCCGCAGCCAGCTCGCCCTCGGAAGCGCGGGGTGAGCCGTCAGTTCCGGTCCCGGCCGCGGACTCTTCCGGCGTCGCGGCGAGGTCCCGGCGCGCGATCGACAGCGCCACCGGCAGCGTGACGACCAGCTGCCGCCGCGCCTTGTTGAACTGCGCCTTGCCGCGGCCGTCGTCCACCGGGTAGGGCAGCGAGAGCCGCAGCCGGTAGTCGGGGCTCCTGGAGTCCAGGCACAGCAGCTTCCCCTTCACCTCCAGTTCCGCCCTCTCGGCCGAGCGCAGCAGCGGCAGCTCGATGGTGACCACCAGCTCGTGCGGCAGGGGGCTCGGGGCGGCGTCGCGCGAGCAGCGGTAATCCTGGAGGTCCACGTGGTGGCGCTGCACCACGGTGCAGCGGGGCTCGGTGGGCTCGGGGGGCTCCGGCCGCTGCTCGGCCTGGGGATCCCGGGGCGCCGGCGTGCGAGCCGTGCTCTCCGCCGCCGCCGGGTAGGGGTACGGGTACGGCAGGTCCGGGAAGAGCCCGGGCGGCTCCTCCTCGGGCCGGGCAGGGACGCCCCCGGGAAGGGGAGTGCGCAGCACCGCGGCCTCAGGCACCCCCTTGTACTTGATCTTGAGGATCTTGGCATTCCTGCGGTCCAGCCTGACGCCGAACTGCTGCTCCACCGCCTCCAGGGCCGTGGCGTCCAGCATTTCGCGGAATCGCTCGTGGCTCCGGGCCAGCGCTAGCGCGTCCGGGTGGAAGACCACGTCGTAGACGGTGTAGCGGGAGCCGCCGCGCCCCACATACTTGCGGCCGGGCGCCAGGCTGTAGGGCAGGGACCAGTGGCTGCCAGCCGCCGCGCCGCCGCCGCGCCCCGCGCTCGGCCGGCTGCTGGGCGAGCCGACCAGCGGGTTGCTGCACACGTTCACGAAGCAGCGGTGCTCCCCGTCCAGGCTGGTACGCAGCACGTGGCCCGGCTCCGGGTGCACGAACCGCACCTCCACCCCGCGCTCCCGCTCCAGCGCTGTGATCTCCTCCTCGTAGCGCCTCCGGTTCTCAGGGTCCGTGATCTCCGAGGCATACTCGGAGAACATTCGGCGGAACTCTGGGTCCTGAAAGGCGGAGGTGAGCCGCTGCACCTCCTCTCCGCTCAGATCCAAGTCCTCCAGCGCTGAGGAGGCCGCCGCCTTGGCCATGGTGCCCCACTCCGCCCCTCACCAGAGCCCCGTGAAGGATCAGCCCGAACCTAGGATGCGCTTTGGGAACTAGCAGAAGTGATCAGCCTAGGAAGGTAACCGTTGGCTAGCTGGGCAGCGCGTGCTTTGTTGCCATAGTAACACCTTGGAGGCGGGGCAGTGATCTCGTGGAAATGCTAGAACTTGGCTGTTGGTTCAAATCAAGCAGCCACTCTACCTGCTACAGGCTTGAGACTTCTGTTCCAGGATACACGTACTTTGCAGTCCTCATTTTCAGCACTTTATCGTATTAACTGTTCACTTTCACAGACAAATGAGAAGTTTCCTAGCCAAGGCTACAATTCACACAAACCTAACTTTTATCTGGCCCTTTTCACTTTGTGAAACGGACATTTAAGCCCTAATTTTTGTTCTGTTTTCAGGTATCCTACCTTATAATTGTTCCGTAAAAACTCTTGGGGGCAAAAGATGGACTCGAAAATCCCAAAGCCCAGTAGACAAGGGAAAGTTATTCACTTTTCATAATGTAAAAGTAAGGTCCCATAAATCACTTAGCAAAATCACGGGCTTTGTCCTGATCGGTTTCCTTGGGTTGAGAATAGAATTAAAACTGCACGTCTTTTGAAAACCACATATCCTTACACTGACTCAGTAGTTCCTAACTGTGATTCTAAAAGAAAGACTATAAGCTCCACAAGGAATTAATGCAGCAGGTATGGTAGTAATACAACGGAATTTTATGCCGTCAGACTTTATGGAAATTGTTTTGTTATGGCGCCAGGGGCGGGACCCAGGACCTCACTTGTAGCATGAGCTCTACCACTGAGCCACACACCCCCAGGTCCAGCGCGAGGTTATGAATTGATGGCTGGCTAGTCCTGAATCAGTTGTATGTGCGCAGCGTTTAGCACAGTTTACATTGGCATTACTGCAATCATAAGACCTTTCCCAGGTTTTTCTCTTAACTCATCCTTTTTTGTGTGGGGAGGAAGAGCATCCCAGGACCAAACCCAGGGCCCGGCACCTACAAGACAAGCACTCTTCCACCGAGCTGCATTCCGAGCCTTCCATCTGTTCTCTGGGTCGCTTTTGCACACACCTTCCTCTGTTACATTTTAAGTAGACTGTCCCAAGACTGGGATAGCACCTCGTCTCCATTACGTCATCTCTTTCACAAATATATAAATATCGTCCGTACTCAGCTGGGCGTGATGGCGCACACCTTTAATGCCAGCACTTGGGAGGCAGAGGCACGCGGATCTCTGAGTTCAAGGCCAGCCTGGTCTTATAGATGGAGTTCTAGGACAGTGCAGCCAGGACGACACAGAGAAACCCTGTCTCAAAAAAACCAAAATAGATAAATAAACTCACAAATAACCAACTCCTGTTTCAAGTTCTAAACTCCAGACTCATCCAGCTGTCCATTTGATGTCTCCATTTGAGGCTTGGAATGGCTGATAATGGATCTCTGGACTACTACTGTTCTTTCCCTCACCTGTCCCTTGATCTCCCAGCAGCTGTAAGCCTGGCTTGGAATGCATTTTCCTCTTGACTTCGGCACTCAAAGGTCTGTTCTTTCCTCCTTTTCTTGCCTCTCACCTGCCAGCTTCCCTATACACCCAGGCCCATAGCTTGAAATGGCATCTGTCATCGGATCAGTCCTGATTAGATATTATTGCTTACTCTACCTACTATGTAGGCGAGTTAATGCTCTTTTTGAAATTTGTTCTATTGTTGTCTATGTGCATGCATTTGGTGCACACGTGTGTAGGTCAGAAGACAACTTTTGGGAGTTTGTCTCTTCTTCCACTGTGGGTACCGGGGAGCCAACTCAGGTGGTCAGGCTTGCACACAGCAAATGCTTCTACTCACTGAGCCATCTTGACAGGCTGATAAGTTAATGTTAAATCACTAGGGAAAAAAAAAATCATTGTGTTCTAACAGCAAAACCACTGGCACTCTCTTATGTTGAGAAAATGTTGGAACAATCACTTGGGGAAACTACTACTGAACATAATACATATGATGAAAAAATTTGAAAAAATTCTATTTTGAGGTATACATCCAACAGAAACATCACCACGACATATGTACTAGATGTGTTTGTACACACACACACACACACACACACATTTTAAAGATTTATTTTTAATCAGGTGTGTATGTGCACGGGAGTACAGGTGCCCACCAAGGCTAGATGAGTCAGGTTATGTCCCCTGGTCCTGTATTGTAGTGATTGTAAGCCACCCACTGTGGGTGCTGGGAACCGAACTTGGGTCCTCTAAAAGAGCAAAATGGAATCTTCTCTACTGAGCCCCTTGGAGTGTGTGTGTGTGTGTGTGTGTGTGTGTGTGTGTGTGTACACACACATTTTTTTTTTAAGATTTATTATGTATACAGTGTTTGCTTGCATGTATCCCTGCACACCAGAAGAGGGCACCAGATCTCATTACATATGGCTGTGAGCCACCATGTGGTTGCTAGGAATTGAACTCAGGACCTCTGGGTTCAGAGCAGCCAGTGCCCTTAACCGCTGAGCCATCTCTCCAGCCCTTAAGTGTATATATTTTTTAACAGCACTATTTGTTAGTAATCCTCATACTAGAAAATAACTTAATTATCACTCATAGTCAAATGGATAATTAACAGCATATATCCACCATACATCAGCTATATAGCAACACTACGAGTGAATACTAATGAATACCCCTGATGTGATGTTATATAGATGAAGCTAGACGCAAAATACATATGGATCGGAATCCATTGCATAACCAATAAAGACTTGGCTAAGTAAATCTTACTGGTAGAAAGTGGTCTATACAACTACATCAATAAGCCGAGCAGTGGTGGTACACACCTTTAAATTGAGGCCAGCCTGGTCTAGAGTGAGTTCCAGGACAGCCAAGACTACACAGAGAAACCCTGTCTAGAAAAATTTTAAAAAACCAACCAAACAAAAACAACTCTGTGAATAAAAGAGAAAATACTGAACTAGTGGTTGTTCTCCAGGGGAGAGAGGAGTGTTGTGCCTGGAAAGAACAAGAACAATCTTCCAGGGCAGGCTCCTTTCTTGATTCTAGTACAGTTATATTGGCTGTGGGGATATTTGATCACACTGTGAACCCCGAGATTGCATTATTTAAATCAAATCAACCACAGGTTAAGAGATGGAGCAAGCAGCCAGTTGACTGCAAGTAACCATAGAGAGTGCGGGGAGGCCAGAGAAAGGCACAGGAAGTAGAGGGGAGGGACATCTGGGTGGAGGAGGAGTTTTTGTTTCAAACGGGGCTGGGAGAAAGCTCTCTTTCTGAGATGACAGAGGAGGAAGCAGGTTCTTTCTCTGCCTCTCTGAGCTAGCAGGTTTTTAATCCAGCATCTGGTTCCTGAGTCTTTATTGGTAAAAAATAAAAAGATAGAGACTTGGTAAACAACATTTGCCTCCCTACGTGGAGGAAGCTAAGTCCTCGGTAGGTTCAGGCGTGGCCACTGTGCTCAGATAAAACAACAGTTACAGCTTGCAAAGATTCATTGAGGTCTATACACTGATAATGAGGGGCTTTAGATCTTGTATTTTGAAAGCTTCAAGTTTTGTTTAAAAAGAAGACTTTGAGCCAGGTGTGGTGTTTAACATCTATAATCCAGCACATAGGAGCAAAGGACAGGAAACTCATGAGTTCAAAACCAAACTTCTTTAAAAAAGAAGCCTTCATAGATCTTTAGGGTGAAACCACTGACTACAAAGTTAGACCTTCATGCCTACCTGACCACTGAGCCCTTGGAGACCCACATTAGATTTCTCCACCTGAACGTTTGATAGACATCCGAAAACATGTTCAGAACAGAAACCCTGACGACGCTCTCTCAAACCTGAAGTCTCAGTAAATACCACCACCTACCCCCTGCCCCCCCTCCCCAGCTTTTAGGCCTAAAACCTAAATATAATCCTTGATTCCTCTTTACCTTCCTCACTGCCATTCAGCTACCAAGTCCTACCTTGTCCTGCTGTAGGCTCAAAATCGGCTTCTGGCCATGTCTGGCCTGCCACATGTCCATCGCAGGCGTCTGCAATAAATTGCTTCCCATCTGGTCTCGGGCCGTTTTCTTACAGTTTATTTTGACATGGTTGCCTTGGTATCTCTTTCAAGTTATTACTGAATTTAGTTTCTCCTTCTGCAATGGATGATCCCCAGTAGGGGATCAAGCTCAGGGGATGTCAGGCTCAGCAGCAAGGGCTTAAGCCCCCAAACCATCTGACTGGCCCTTTCCGTGTATCTTTAAGCCCGGGACCATTTCTTTCCTTCCTTCCTTCCTTCCTTGCTTCCTTCCTCCCTCCCTCCCTCCCTCCCTTCTCCTTCCTTTTCCTTCCTTCGTTCTTCCTTCCTTCCTTTTCCTTCCCCTTCCTTCCTTCCTTCCTTCCTTCCTTCCTTCCTTCCTTCCTTCCTTCCTT